TGGGCGCCACGGCGCACTACGCGCCGTTCGGGCCAAACGGTCTGATTATGATCTTGGGCGGAGGATCGCACGTTATCGGGACGGGCCAGAGCGTGGATAACGTCGGCTACCTCAGCTTCAGCACGATTTACTTCATGGACCCCGTCACCAAGACGTGGTATACCCAGCAGACGAGCGGCAACGCCCCCGGACCGCGCATGTGGCACTGCACTGTCGGAGTCCAGGGTCCCAACAACACATACGAGATGTAGGCTTTCTTTGATAACTCTGCCAGAAAAATTCAGTCCTTGGAAAAGATGCTAACCCATGTATACCAGCTTCATGCACGGCGGCAGCAACATCGCCAACAAAGAAACCTTTGACGAGGTCTACATCCTCTCGCTCCCCGGCTTCGTCTGGCAAAAGGCAAACTACACCTCGTCGGCCCCACGCGACACCCACTCGTGCGTCGTCGCCGGTCAGCGCCAGATGATCACGTTCGGCGGCGTCAACAGGATGGCCAACAACGCCAACTCGACGCTCTTCTTCAACGAGGAGGACTCCTTCCGCCAGGGCGTCGGCGTCTTCGACCTCACGGCGCTGGCGTGGAAGGACGGCTACGAGCCTACGGCCGCCGCGTACGATTCTCCCGACGTCGTCAAGGCATGGTACAATGAGGGGTGAGTTTTAATCTATTTCTTTTTTTTGACAATATTTGATGGTAGGATGTAAGTCCCCGGCTGACTTTTATCGCAGTAACCTCGCCAGCGTCGCGTACGGCACGGGCGTCGAGGCGCTTATTAACTACGGCCAATCCGGATCGGGCTCGAGCTCAGGTTCGGGCTCAGGTTCGGGCTCAGGCTCAGGCTCCGACGACTCTAACCCCAGCTCGAAATCCTCCAACACGGGCGCCATCGCCGGTGGCGTGGTAGGCGGCGTAGCGGGCGTCGCCCTCATCGGCCTAGCCGCATTCTGCCTCATGAGACGGCGGAAGCATAAAAAGGTCCCGACGACGGAGGAACCCGGCCCCAATGCCGTCGAAGCCCCGGGCTCGGCAGCCTACTATAACAATAACCACAACCACAACGGCATGCAACAACATCAGCAGACGGCTTACTCACCTGGTCCCGCCCCGTCAATGACGACGGCCCCGTCAGAGCTCCAGGGGGAGTACAGGGACCACTCGCCGTTCTCGGGCAGTGACGTGCCGCCCAAGATGATGCAGCCTCCCGAGATGGAAGCAGGGGAGCCGCGGCACTTTTACGCGGCGGAGCTGGACGGGACGGAGGCGCGGAAGTGAAGTAGCCTCGAGGTTGGTTAACGACCGCGTGGGGAAAAGTTCCAGATGGGACGAGGTATAATTCATGATGAGATGTGGGGGTGTCCAATATCGGTGTAATGTTCTCGGGAAAATATAGACTGTATAGTATACACTGTCGATAATGTACAGCGTGAGAGGAGTCACATGACGATATTTTTGCTTGTTCGTGAATTTCCTGCGGTACTTTTTACAGGTTCTCAACTATGAGTGCCTTTCGTGGTCCGACAACGAAACGATTGTGTTGGGAGCGTCTAGTGCCACCACAGAAGTGCAGTCACCATCACCAAACATGCGTTCCTTTTATACAATATACCTCATAAGTTTGGAAACCCGAGTACCAGGACGTAAGAGTAAACATGTCGTATTGATATCTAAGAAGCCTTACTTTGCCGTAGCCTTGGTGGAGCAGGAGGCATAAAACTATGGACAAGAAGAAAGAACCATCGCGCTTATGCAGCGCAGTCCTAGTCCGTTGCGAAACGGTCAGTGAATTTAAATGTTGCCAAACCCTCCTTGAAGCTGTTCACGACGGTGTTAACATCAGCGGCCGAATACACGCCCTCGCCAGCCTTGACGCCAAGCGTTGCTGACTTGGTGAGAGCCGAACTAACACTGCCCACCGGCTTCCCCCATCTGTACGAGTCGATGACAAGCTGTGCAGGTCTACCGGCTGGGTATAACGGAGATGGCTTGATGAAGCCATTGAAGAGGCCATCGACACCGCGGGCCACAATGACACCGTCGAACGACGTGGCATCAGCTTGTGCGTAGGTCATGTCGACGCCGTCAGTCAGCTTCTCAGCAATGACAGTCACCAAGACACCATCAGTGGCGAATGCATCCTTCAACTCCTTGCCTTGGCTTACGGAGCCGTTAGCTGATAGGCTTGCAAGGACGCCGACCTTTAGAGTCGCGATCGAGGGTAGCTTGTTTCCAAAGATGGAGAGCCCCTGAGTAGTCTTGTTGTGGTAGTACTGCGCATCTGGCTGCAGGTGATCCATGCCTAGGGCATCGGCAACGCGGTTCGCAATGTCGTTGCTGACCTTGTTCAGCTGAGTGAGAACGTTCTGCTTGACTTCAGTGGATTCGAGGTGACTGGTTTCGAAGCGGATGGCGTTGATGAGGAACTGCTGCTCGATGGGAGTCAGGGAGTTGTAGAAGAGGCGCGGCTGAGACCAATGATCCGAGAAGCTGTCCGAGATCTCGCGGACGAGGTGGCCATTGTTGGTGCGGCCAGGCGCGGTGAAGAACCCGTTGCCTTGAGTTTGGTTGGCTTGCTTAGGGAACCCCTTGTTGAGGGTATTTGGGGTATCTATTACTTCAATTAGCCAGAGAATCGACAAAAATGAAGAGACGACTCACAGGAGTTACGGTTGCGGTGGATGAAGTTCTGGCCAGCGCCATCACGGTTGTTGTTGTGAATTGGGCCGATTGGACGGTTGATTGGCAATTGTTCAAAGTTGGGCCCGCCGTGGCGGTTGATCTGAGTATCGAGGTACGAAAAGATGCGGCCCTGCAGAAGAGGGTCTTCGGTGAAGTCGATACCTCTGACAATATGTCCGGGTTGAAACTGGAACGGGTTAGCTGTGCTCCAACACTTCGACGTAAGAACGCACCATGATCTGTTCTGTCTCGGCGAAATAGTTGACTGGGTTTGCATCTAGCTTCATCTTGCCGAGCTTTTGAAGGGGCGCAATCTCCTCAGGGATGATCTTTGTTGGGTCCAATAGGTCAAATCCAAACTTGAGAGTATCCTCCTCGTCGAGAACCTGAACGCAGAGCTCCCATTCAGGTCCGTTTCCAGATTCAATCGCATCCCATAGGTCCTGGCGGTGGTAGTCGGCATTCTTGCCCGAAACGATCTGGGCCTCCTCCCAAACCAAGCTGGCCTTGCCCTGTTTCGTCTTCCAGTGCCACTTGATAAGCTTCGACTTGCCGTCGTCTGTTACCGCGCGGAAAGTGTGTACACCGAAGCCATCCTGGGAGCGTTAGTTAGTATTTGGCGATTGCGAAGCTTTATCTCTACTCACCATGTGTCGGTAACTTCTCGGAATACCGTAGCCGGCCATAGCCCAGAACAAGGTGTGAAGAGTCGTGGTCTGAGAGCTGAAGAAGTCCCATGCAGAATCGTGAGCTGTCGCAGCTTGCGGAATCTCATTATCCCCGCGAGGTTTTCTGCGAGGGTCACGACGTTAGTATTCCAGACGGCGGTGCAAGTGGGAAAAGGCTATAGCAGGTCTTACACTGCATGGATCAAGTCTGGGAACTACATAAAGTTAGCTCAAGGTGTTCGTAGTAGCATTGGAGATTCTCGAACAAACTCCGCCCTGGAGCTCACTCGGAAGTTACAATTGACGTACCTGAATCGCGTCTTGGATGAAGAACACCGGGATGTTGTTTCCCACAATATCAAAGTTACCCTCGTCAGTGAAGAATCGAGTGGCAAAGCCGTGGACATCTCTGGCAGTGTCCGCACTTCCTCTTGATCCAGCGACGGTAGAGAACCGCACAAACGTCGATGTTTGCTTTCCCGCCGCGCCCAAAAAGGAAGCGGCCGTGAGATTGCTGTAGTCGCCGTAGCTCGTAAAGGTTCCGTAGGCACCGGCGCCACGGGCGTGAACAGCTCGTTCAGGTACCTGTAAGCAGAAACGGTTAGTCAAGAGTATCCAGCTGGAGGCGCATAGACATGGGACTCACCCTCTCGTGGTCGAAGTGTGTAATCTTTTGGCGGAAAATGAAGTCCTCCAACAGAGTCGAACCACGGACGCCAGCCTTCAAGCTGACTTGGTCCTCGATTGGGCCACCGACGTCGGATGTGAGGTATGGATCGCCTGTAGAGTCGTCGACCTCGTAGCCGGAGACATGGCCGCGAGAGCCGTCGTCAGTTCGAGCTTTGATGTTGGAAGGGTCTGCAAAGGGACAGCCGGCAGAGGAGAGCGTAGTCAAACCGAGACCGGCCAACAGGAGGGTAGTATGCATGTTGGACTAGCGATCGAAATGATGCCTGTATGCCTACACGAGTCGTCCCCTCAATTGATGATGAAAGATTGAGTATGCAGGAAAAGCGCTTCCTGGTCTCGAAGGGTAGAGAAAGGGAATAGCTGTTGGGTAAGTCAACAGTACCGAGGGGCGAACGGCTACTTAAGAGCTCCAGAGACTTGGGTTGACAAGCGGCGCTTTGTCTGAGCTACCGATATATCCTATAGAATAACAGCAGCAAGGGGGAGGCAGAGAGCTCGATGAAGTCAACAACAAGTCCCGATCTGGGAGGAGAAAGACCGTCGGCGCACAAGCTTCAAGGATTGTTACTGCTCCTGCTAATCCTGGACACGGTGAGGCAACCATGGCAGGCGAGCATCTTTTCCAGGTCGGACCGGGGAAAGTACACTAGTAACGCTTGCCCAGAACACATCCACATCCACATCCCGAGGAGGAGGAGGAGGAGGAGAAGGTGAGCACGACGCACTGCTGCCTCTTCCAAATAGGTGTGCCAGGACGTAGGATGAGGAGTGACAGCATCATAATCATCTCAGGTACTTCTCCACTAAACTACAGAGAGAGAGAGAGAGAGAGGGGCCAGAGTGAAAAGGAGAGGAGGGGCTTGCTACCAGTGCTGTTAGATTAGAAATCTTCTGGTGTGATTCAATGGAGAAGCGCCCACGGTCCCGGGAGCTCTGATGTTGTGTCCTGGTAGCTTGCCTTGGCCTGCATTTTTGTCTCACGGCCGAGGCCGACAAAACGTCGACGGCGTACGGGGATACCACTAGGTAGGGAACATGAGCCAGCCACGCCGCCAGCTTAGACAATAGGGAATTCTCTCATGTGCAGACCTCTTCCCTCCTTCAAACGGCGTTTTTCTTCTTCTCAAACAGTGGGGTCGATCAGCGTTGTTCACTGAAAACATAAGGCAGTCACCGGAGACAGCGAAAAGGTGATAAAAAAGCTTCGATATCGAGCACCGTTTCCTTCGCTTAGGATGCCTGCCGATTTTTTTTCTTCCTTTCTTTTCTTTCTTTTCCCACGTGCTGGCACTTTACGAAACAAGGCTACATCTAGACGACATGGGCTAAGGGGGGGGATCCAAAGAGGTCCAGAGCCCGATGGTGCGCAAACGACCCATGGGAAACAAATGTGGTTGGTGAGGAACGGCACGGCAGTTGGGGGCGGCGGCGGGTTCCAATTGCCACTAGGTAGACTAGCGAAGCAACCCAGGGCGGGAAAAGTAGATGTGGCTTGCGGAAGATCGAGAGAAAGCTACTTGGGCGGGCTTTGGATGCCATCATCCCAAGTCTGTGCAAGCCCGTGCTTCATTAGAGGGTTGGGGGTTCGTCTCTTCAAATGGCCTTCTTGGCTCTGTAGCCTTGTACAATGGAAACGCGAAACCTGCTATGTTGTGGTGGTTCTTGTGCGACGTTGGAGAGACGAAAGCCGAAGGTCAAAAATAGCTCCGATGATTTTGCGGTATTTCGGGTCCAGGGAGAGAGATGAGCCACAGGACCTATAAAAGAGTGACAAGAAAGAAGGCTCCACGGCAGGAAATAAGAGTCACTGTTTGCCAGTCCACATTCATCTCATCTATGACGACAGCTGAGGCGGGCAAGTTCAATTTGAATTGATAGACCGGGGTTTGTTGTTGTTGAGATGAACTACCTACAGCAGCTCCGGATACCCTTGTCGAAACAAAGTCTTTGTCCTGCGGTCTAGAAAAAGAGATCGGTTGTGACGGAAAAGGGCTTTACGTATCCGCGACATTTCTCCCCGATCTCTAGAGAATGAGAGGCGGACGAATGAGATCAAAAGTACTTCCGTCCGGATGTAGTACGAGGCCCCGGCGCTGGGATGGAAGAGGAAAAGAGGCAGAGAGCTGTGCGTGAGGTTGAGGTTGAGGTGTGAGCGAGTGTGAGTGAGGTTCGAGAATGCCGAGCCATCATCGTCATCGGGCGAGCCCTCGTGTGGGGCCGTGCCTCGCTGATCACCCGGGAAGAAGCACCACACGCCTCTGTAATACAAATCACCTCAGTCGCCAAGCGAGGTCGGTCGACATGGGGGGTCCCCTTCGCAGACGGGCTGGGTTGCAGCGCAGCCAGCCATGAAAGCTCTCTCGAATGCACCTTTCTGTTTACCTTCCCAGCCAGTAAGGTGAGTTCTGCGAGTTTCCGGGCTTGAGGCTCATTCATCTGGGTCTGATGGACGGTCGCAGGACGGCTACTCCAATGTTCACCAGGATTGCACTTTCTTTGTATGAAGGTTATCTGTTTTATTTCCTATCCTATAAACAAATTCTCGGGGAGAAACGAGACAAATACCATCCAGGACCCTTTGCGCTGCCACAGAAAGACGAGACGATTCGGCACTTGTCGGCGAGGCGGAAGCGAGTGCGGGAACATCAGACACGGGACGCTCTTCGGGTTACTTTTTGCGACGAAAGGAGACAATCGGTCGTCTCTCAGGGCTCGTGTACACATACCTTGGTGTCTTCAAATCCGAAAGCCGATGTTTGTTGTTGATAGGTACAGTAGAAGCCGTCCCGGAGCGAATCCCGAAGTCCCCCGCCCGCTCTCCGTCATCTGTTCATCATGAGAGAAGGCTTGCCGTCCAATAATCGGGAAATCGTGACTTTCAGCTTGCATGGCATTCTCATGGCTTGCGAAACTAGATCAGAAAGGGAGTACAACTAAACAGTCTGGATGAAGAGATAAATCCTTGAAACGTGCCCTGTCCGGGTACAGGGGAGCCGCTGCAGGCTATCCGGAGGTATGTCCGGCTCGGAGCCGGGGGGTGTTGATGGGCTCCAAAAAGCACGCAACATGGCACACAACGGTAACACCTTCTGTTATCGAATTATCTCTCATTTTGCTCAGAGCTTCCTTCTCTGACGACATACAGTAGGGGCCCATTGAGACCTACCAATCACCATGGGATGTGAAATGTCTCGGCACCGTGACGGGCAGCTGGGTTTCCTGTCATGCCATTCTGCTTTCCTCACTCGCATGATGCACCGTAGATACGTTCCTCTGACCTTTACTGAACCTCTTCACACTGCATGTACCCACATCGCGTGCGTGTGTGTTCCCTCATACATCATTATTTATAGCCCTGTGATGTTATCCTTCCAAGCGTGACAGTAGGTAGGTACAGATCCAATCGGCTCACTGAGGCTTCTTGGCCCTCTCTGTGTCCAATAGTGGCGCGAGGCCCTGCAACATTGGTTTTGTTTCTTTCGTGAAAGAGAAACGACGTGATCTTCGTAGCGTTGCACTTAGATGTAGATTCTGCGAAAGCCAGCCCCCAGCCATTTCTAAAACGAATGGGAAAATCACTTCGCCAAGCTAGTGACAGGTTGAGTAGGTCAAAATGTACCGCTGTTGAGCAATTGTTGGCTACGATTCCCACAAGGCCGATTCGCTTTGTGTATTCGGGAGGATCCTGCTCCAATTCTCTACCGAGCCGACGGCCGGTTTCCCGAGGCCTGTGGATCTGGTATCTGTCACTTGAAATGGAATCTGCAAGGTGATTTCAAATCATGGAGAATCAAGGAAGACCCTCCCGTGCCTCCCAAAAATTGTACGGGGATCGAAGTAATCGAGTCATCTGCATTGGCCGAGAAAGTCCAGCAGATCGATCTCACGCCCAGGCCGAGCGGAACTCGGGAACAGCAAGCCGTTTGTCTCACAATCTTTTTCTTTAGCTTCAACGGTCGTGCCCTCTCCACGCATCGAGGCCTGGAGGACGCTTCAAGAACAAGTGGAGACACGGGGGGGGGGGGTTTGGGAGTTTTGCCTTTTGCGCAAACAAATTATTACGGGATATGCCTGTTGCGAATGAGGTGTAGCTACATGAACTCGCCATGCTCGAGCCATTGTGCAACATCATGAATCAGGGAGTCCGGCTTCTCAAGCTTTCAGGGCACAGGGTTGAGAAGCATATTACAATCACCTGCGAACATTGCTCTGGGCGGTAGCACGCAATGGCGTCTACTTGGGGAAACAAGCAGGCACGCATAATTCAGCTTTAGGACAGGACTTGCATAGCACACGTTGCACACTTGAAATTGACACATGAGAACTGGCTCGTATTGGTGGGGTCTTGGTTGAAGTTCATTGCTTTTGGTGTAAATGAGATCCTAGCTCAATGGCATCCTCTGGTATCGGCCATGGCTAACCCAAGTTATTCCCCCAAACGCCAGATGTCCCACGCCCCTTTTTGTTCATTCTTCCATCAGACTTTTTGGGTTTCCAACGCTTAGTAGAAGAAGCCGATGACCTTGCCGGCAACGTGCTTGCGACGGGCCTCCTCGTGGTCCATGATACCAGCAGAGGTGGTGAGGATGACGTAGCCGAACTGACGGGCGGGGAGCAGCTTGACAACCCACTTCTCGAGGTCGGAGAGACGGACGTTGTAGCGGGGAGAGATGACACCGCACTTGTTGAGGCGGCCGTTGAGCTGGACAACGATCTTGCCGGAGCGGTGGTCGTCGACCTCCTCGAATGACGAGATGTAACCTGTGTTGTTGCTGTTTAGCTATGGTGTCGCGGTGGTTTAAAGCTTAGACATCAGGAGAAAAAATCCGAAAAAGTTGTAAGACCTCCGCTATCTATCTATCGGCATCTTATAGGGGCTGAGTCGTGGGAATCGAAGACGGTCGCCCTAGTTATCATGCCGAATGTACATCCATCCAAGAATGTCCTCCGAGGTGAAGAGAAAGAAGAAGTAGAAAGCAAAACGTGGTGTGTTAACGTACCGTGGCGCTGCATGACCTGGAGGAACTTGACGATGACCTTGGAGCTGGGGCGGATGAGCACCTGGCGCTTGCCGGCCTTCTCGGCGTTGTTCATGCTCTTGAGAGCATCGTGGAGAACGGAAGTGCGGACCATCTTGGCGGTTGATGTATGCGGAGATTCTCAAGTCTCGGGAAATGAGGTATCTGCCAGCGAAGAAAATTGCATGTTAGCCTTCCAATGGGCCTGTTGAGCGTGGAGAGTGCCCTCCCAGGCGACATTCGACCAACAGGAGGGTTCTGCCAGCTCGTTGCTAAGAGGAGAGCGTATCAGATGTCATCGTCGTCGGCGTCGGGCAGCCGCCAGCCAAGGGGCCACCGCATCGTCCGTCGAGGCGAAGATGGAGGTCGAAAAAAAGAATCGGTATCTCGTGATCGCACGACTCGTCTGATTGCTCTCCTCCGGCATCAAGGAAAAGGCAAGAAGTTCCTGTCGGATCAAGTCGCCATCATGGGCGAACAAGGTGATTATGCCTTGTTTTTTGTTCTTTTTTCTCGACTTACCTCGTGGATTGAACGGTGCCGCTGAAGGGGGTGATTGGCAAGTTTGTCGGTGAGAAGATCGTGGTGGAAGTTGGGGCGCAGAAAAAGCCAAAAGGCTGTGGGAGAATTCCCCACACTGCGACGAAAAAAATTGGTCGCTTGTGGGTGCACGGACCACCCACAATTTCTAACCCTCGAAAGGGCACGGGCGAAGTGACCTTTCCACGAATGATCTTTCAGCGCATTTTCTGCTTGTGCCCTCGCATCACGCCAAAAGTTCACTTTATTCATACACTACCCAAATTACAACACAACATAACTCTTCGAGGATCGAACCGACAGGAACTTGACCAACAACTTTCAAGATGGTGAGTTCGCACCGAGAACCCCTCCCCAAAATGGCTCCCGAACGACCGACGCCTCCCGACTGCCCGCAATGTCTCCAATTGGGATTCCCGGGTGCTTGGAAGTTGTCGCGTGCGCGCAGGCCAATTGGGCTCATCCCACTTTGGGGGATGACGACGAAGATGTCGACTTGAACCTTGGGGGAACACACATGGCTAACCATTGCCCTTGCGCATCGTACAGTCGGACGTAGAAGAGAACAACGCCCCCGAGGTGGCCGAGGAGGTCGAGGTTTCCGCCGATGCCGGCTCCAAGGGCCAGATGTCCGTTCTTGACGCCCTCAAGGGTGTCCTGAAGCTCGCCCTCATGCACGACGGTCTTGCCCGCGGTCTCCGTGAGGCTTCCAAGGCCCTCGACCGCCGCCAGGCCCACATGTGCGTCCTCAACGAGGCTTGCGAGGAGGAGGCCTACAAGAAGCTTGTCATCGCTCTCTGCTCCGAGCACAAGATCCCCCTGATCAAGGTGCCCGACGGAAAGCAGCTCGGCGAGTGGGCTGGTCTCTGTGAGTACACACCTGCGGCATACCGCTGTCACACATTCGCACACGAGCGTCAGCTAATGGAGATATCACAGGCGTGTTGGACCGTGAGGGCAACGCCCGCAAGGTCGTCAACTGCTCTTGCGTCGTCGTCAAGGACTGGGGTGAAGAGTCCCAGGAGCGCTCCATCCTTCTCAACTACTTCCAGACCGAGCAGTAAATTTGGGTATGACTTCATGATTTGAATTTGGGCGTCACTATGGGGAGAAGGATTTTTAGAGGGGTGGCGGGGAAATCTGGAACCGTCGCTATGAACGATCTTTCGGTTGTACTCTAGCTTCTTCAGCTGGCATCTCGAAACAAAAAATGGAGGACTCCCTCTGGAGGTCAGGTCAACATGCATCAAGGACAAATAAAGAGAAACGGCATTGGGCACTCTTGAACCAACAAACGTGTGCATTATCGATGTTGATGTGAAGCGATTGATGAGAACTGTGGTATGGTCTGCCTATTTCCTTCCCTCGACCTGTGTGTGCGAGTCAGTACAAACATGTCTCGTTGAGCCCCTGTGTAGTCGAGCATTACCATGATGATGTGGTATCCAAACTCCGTCTTGGCCTCTCCGTAAACGGGGCTTGCCGTTGTACTGGCACTCAGGGCAAATGCAACGTCCTCAAACTTTGGGTCCAGGCTTCCCTTTGTCTTCCAGCCCAGAGCACCACCTGTGAACCAATCAGCATGGGCACTCGCCCGTTATGAAGCTGCGTATGGATGTCACTCACCTTGTCTCGCCTTGTCCTCGGAGAACTCTCTCGCCACATCATCAAACTTGGTCCCGTCTCTCAACTTAGCCAGAGCCTCCTCCTTCTTGGCATGCTTCTCGCACTGATGTTCTTGTCAGCTTGTAAAGTCCCGGCAAAAAGCCCGTAGCTAGGAAGACGGTGCTCACCAAGATGTGCCGGACGTTGATAGACTGCGCGCCCTTGGCCGCCTTGCCACCTTTGTCATCGCTCTCACCCTTAGCACCCTTCTTCCCGCCGGCAGACTTGCCCCCGTCCTTCTTGTCGGCCGGCTTCTTGTCGTTCTTGCCCATCTTGAAGTAGCTGCGGGGGTGTCAGGCGTGATGCGGACGATGAACTTTGAACTGGAGGGGTTGATGGGAGGGGGGAATCCGCTCTGGCGGCAACCCCCACCTTGAAAAGACTCTGTCAACGGCGGCTGTGACCAATGGAGTGCGGGGAAGCCAACTTCACTACCACATCTGACCGTTGCGAACTCTCATCCGACAATATATCAACAACACCCTGAGCAAGATTTTACTGCTTTTACGGAAGTTTCCACTTCTTGGTATTATTCCTTTGAAACAAAGTTTTCCCTTGTGCCATGATCCATGTATTGAATGACCAAAATCACGGATTGGCTGACAATCGTCCTTGCCAGGCATTATTTTCAGTTGATCAGATGCCAACAGCTTCTTAGCTCTAAGTATTCCCAGATTCGTAACCAGAGACGTTCCCTCAACGATTTAGATCAATTTCTTTCGTCGGTTATGTTCAAACAGGCTTTTACAAGCTCACACTACGTGCCCTCGATGTAAATTCTCCGATCTCCAGGCACATTGCGGGTAATATTCTGAGTTTGGACTCAGCCATACGTTACGTTGTATCCAACTGGCCAAGTAGAGTCGATTATCGCAACAATTGTCAGGATGCGGAAAGCGTAGAGACAAGACTCAGTCAGTGCTACTACTTTCACGTGGATTTGGGAGAGACCAGCCCGTGGAACCCAAAGGACGTAGATATACAGCTTCTCGCAAAACAATACTGAGCTACTTAGACGCTCTCTAGATGTAAGCTTTTGACTGAAGTATTGGTGAGACAAACTATCTTCAATAGATCCTAGATATCATCAGGTTCGGACCGAGACTCAAACGATGGGACCCTCGTGCCCTCCTACAGTAGAAGGTGAAGGGGTCAGGTGTTTGCACGAGACAACGATATTCTGTTTCAGTCAAAGCAAATTAAACAACAACCTTTCATTCTCTCAAGAATGCTATGCGTTCAAGGTCTGAAGTAAAGTGGCTCTTTATCTGGAGGCGGGCTCCAAGCCACGTACCAAAGTTTCGCAGAATCGGTGACATCTTGATCAACAGCTTCAACAACAATCCGAGAAGTCTAGTAGAACGTAAATTTTTTTCTAAGGGTATCATAACACACTATTCTCTCATTGAATCAACCGCTTTGCCAATCAACTCGAGGAAGGCTCCCTGCTCGATCCGAATATCAGCCCAGTGCCACTGGTCTCGTCGGACAAGATCTCTCTTCCTGCCTTTATCATCCTCCTCATGCCCTACCATTTCGGCGTGGGTGCTAAAGTAATTGTGGCCCAACATCTGTGCCACGTTCCTAAATCCCTTGTGGGACATGCTCGACGGTTGTATCTCAACGACGGCGGCGCCGTTCTCGCGGAGAAACATCGTGTGCGTCAGTCCTGCGCCGTGAACGCCGACCAGGACATCGGTGGACTGTATTATTCGAAGCTGTTCGGGGAAGGTCATCGCTCCCAAGTCGATTGCCTGAAAACTGGCGTCGGGAAACGCGTTCCGAGCTGCGTCTAGTAGGACGTCCTGGTCCAAGAGCTTGCGAGAGCCTCTTCGATCGATGAGAGTGACATTGAGTGGCTTGCTTTGTCGCCGTCCCGTCTCGAATTCGACGCAAAATTGCTGCATCACCCGTCGAGTGAAGACTCTCAGCAGCGGAGCGTCCTTGCAGTCTCTATCCTCCCAGTCGTTCTGCCATAGCGGATTGCTCCCTCCGGCGAGTGGGATAATGACGTTCTGAGGCGTCTCGGAAAAAGCTTGAGATTGCGCTGGGTGTTCCAAGATCTTGGTGAGGTGAAGTGGCTCACGACCTGCGAACATTCCCCACAACGAGTATAGAGGCCCTTCTTCTTGGTTGTCCAAGAAGACTACCTGGGTTCGTGGGACGTCTCCGGGAATAGTGAAGAAAGGCTTGTCGGGATTGTCGCCATCGTGACTGAGACGCAAGACGTCTAGGGACATGACCATTGACCATATCTCCATGAGAGAGTGCCAGATGTTGGAGTGGCCTTCCCTTTTCACGAGGATTGTGAACGGACGACTGCCATAGGAGCTTGGAGCTTGTATGGCTGAGGATGGCGATGCTCCGGCTTTGACGCTGACAAAGTTCTGGAATAGGAAGCCGGGACCGGTTTCGTACCAATAGTTTCTGATATTTGAGAAAGAGATGATGCCATGTGATGTTTCGTTGCCGGTAGGTTGTCGCACATTGCAGTCCACATGGAATTTACCGCTTTCGCGATCCAGTACGGCGCCCTGGCCGATGCAGAACGAGTCGCGGTTGTCGTTGGACTGCGTGTGACTGTGAAAGCATGTCAAGTTTGCGCTCGACTCTGGCGAACAGTACTGGATCCTTTGATCGCGGAGTTCATTCAGGTATCGAGGGCCAAAGCGTTTGGCGCAGAACTCAGACTCTGGCAGGTCCGACTTGCTCAACGTCGCCAGTTCCGGCAGAGCTTCCGGAACCTCTTGCTTCGGTGGCCGTGGTGTGGAGTGGAATGGGTTGTGGAGAAATGACAGCCCGCCGCCAGTTTGTGTGGATTGCGACGACGATACAAGAAGGTGAAGAAGGATCATGACAAGCAGCGCCGCCGCCCCGGCCCGCATGCTCTTCGGTAAAAGACGCGAACGCATGGTCGACAGGAATAAGAAGAGCCCATAAGAAGCCGGACGCCGAAGGTTGTTCGGTTGATTTTTGATACTGGACATTTGAAGTCAGAAGGAGGTCAGGAAGAGATAAATCGTGACGTTGGTCCAGCCGGTGGGGAGAAGGAAATGGGTGATAAACCCGTCCACTTCTCGGCAAACAATCGAAGCACAATGCAGGAGAATGGTCCTGCTCTTGGCTGCAAAGAAGGCAGCCTGAGCCCCGTTCGGAATAACCACCAACATGCTGCATGCCTGGCCAACAAAGGCGGACGACAAGAAAGGTGCGCTCCATCCGCGCGTTTGACCAACTGTCGGAAGACAGTCACGTTAGTGTATAATTTGTTGTCTCTCCATTCATGTGCTTGTACCAGTAGTTTCCTCCATGCACTTAGCCGCTGATAACTCCTTGTTGGAGGGTGACGGTACCCGACCCACTGCAGGGGGCCACGAAGTCTTACAAGGCTTAGGCAGGATGGCTTCCAGATACGGATATGGATTGTGAGGGTATGTTACCATGTACTTAAGGTAAGCTGGCACATGGCTGGCTTTTTTTGGGGGGCAAAGAGTCGCATCACAATAGGATGGGCGTATGGGTGGTCGTCGGTCCATCCAACCGGGAAAGTGGAGCTCTTCCGTTGTATCACCGGACAACAAACCAACTGACCAACCAACCTACCCGACCTTACTCTCAAGGTGGCCCTTTCCTCAAATTTTTCTCTCCTTTCCGAGTCCGCCTCATCCGCACATCCGGTACTCTCGCCAGAACTCAGATTATTGTCTAAGGAGATAATTTCCAGTGACTCGCTAGGCTTCGTCGGGCCCGAATGGCCTCGGCCAGATGCCATTCTGCCTACATTCAATAGGCCCATTCCTTTCATGGCACAGACCAATGGCCGATAAGCTCTAAGATGCTGTTTGTACAGAGTAGCATCCCGGCGGGCGTGACCGGTATCTGTATGAGAGGATGTGATCAGAGAATGTTAGTACCTACTACGTAGTTCTTGGGAGGCGCAGGCCAATGGCAGATCCGTTTGAGTTGCTGTTGGTAGCAGCCCCGTTGTAGCTGACAAGGATTATCAGGCGAGTATTAAAGTATGGCAGAAAACCTGCGTTGTTCTGCCGTTTTTTTTTACTGAAGAAGTACGTACTCAACGAACTACCTAAGGTATTGAGAAATCAGGTACGGATATTGTTAGATGACAACAGCCTTCCGCTCGCAGCTCAACACATCCGGTCAACTCTTCCACCAACACCAACACCAGTAGGAACACTCCCTCTCAGTAAGAGCTCCATATGCCATGTACCATTTACTCTAAGAAGGCAGTCTTGAAAATTATCGCCAAGAGGAACAGCGGTAATGACTGAGACGGAAAGAGAGCCTTATGGATGTAAGCGTAATATGGCCGGGCGACTGTAGTGTCACCCATTGGGAAGCTTTACAAGGGCCATGAAGCTGTGGGCTCGTGTCTTGAACCAGGATCCTCAGAAGCAGGCCATAATGAAGGAGTGGCAGGCTGCAGCGCAGCATGAGCTTGGCCACTGCCCTGTACCAAACCCGAGTCCCGAAAGACTCTGTGGATTCATAGCCATCTTCCGAAGTCAGCGGAGGAACTATTCTCCCTATTGTTTACCATTTTCATCTTGGTCTGTTAGAGTACTAAGGACGTCAAGTTGTGATCTGCTCGTTTCTCGCTATCGACCAACGACTCGTGTAGATGATGGAGCCTTCGATTCTGCCTCCTCATGGCTCGCTGGCAGTTCTGCTAATTCTGCCAGCATATCTCGCGGCACTGGTTCTGGCAGCTTGTGCACCATATCCTGTTCCAATACGACTCGGCAATGTTTCGTTATCAAACGGCCAGGTAGTGAGAGGCTTGGAACTGGCCGTTGGGGAACCCGAGCAGAAATTTGCTTTCATCCCCCAGAGGTATTCAACTTAAGCATCTACTTGCATATTCACGAACTATGTGACACATTGCTAACGAACGTCTCGACTCAGTGGCCAGAACGGCACTTTGTTGTACGGCACCAACGGAGTTTGTACTCTTCGCGGCTCTGACAGGTGGTCTAAGGACGGCTGTACTTCTTTTCGAGGGGGTTCTTATGATTTACTCGCGTCCAAGACAAGCAAAGCGACAACACACGATGCTACTCCCGAAGATGACGGATGGCCAGATATCAACCCCGTTGCTGATACGATGAAGCTCAATAGCAACCTTACGCTCGACAACCTCGCCATGGGCATAGCGTTGAGCGACTGGGATACCCAAGGCTATAAAGCCATGATGGGGCTCGGCCTAGGCTCGAATTCGACCATACTGAGAGTCTTGAAGGAGTCAGGCAAGATTACCTCGCGAACGTGGAGTCTCTTTTGGGGTCGCGGTTTTGGGATGTCCTCTCAGCTGGACGGTCATCTTATATATGGAGGCTACGACCGAGCAAAAGTTTCTGGAAAACGATATACCCAGCCCCTGACACCCAACATCGCTCAATGCGAGTCACAACTCATGGTGACGGTCACAGACCTGACCATGAACTTCGACAATGGTACAGACGTCGGCATTTTCCCGTCAAAGTCGAGCGCCATCTCCACCTGCATCAATCCAACGATTCCGGTAATGATGAGGATGCCTCTGAATCCTTACTTTTCCACCTTCCTTAAATACACGGACAATACCATTGACAACATGACTCGCTCTCTCGGTTATCACTACTGGAACATGAAATACCTTCCCGACCAAAAGCCGTATGTCCCCCTTATCCCTGACTTGCTCGCAGTCCTCCAAGCGGCTCGGGTCAACTTTCCAAGCCCACATACTGACAAGACTTGTGCCAATAGATATGACGGTGCCTTGACAATAACGCTCTCATCCGGCCTAAAAATTCGTGTGGACCGTGACAACCTCGTCCTACCACACGTATCACTCGATGAGCAAACGGGAGAGATGCTCGTCAACGCAACAGAAAAGGACATGCTCATTGACTCAATGCAGAATGTCAACGAAAACGACATGGCACAACTCGGCTGGCAGTTTCTTTCCGCCGCCTACCTGCAAGTCAACCACGACACGTCCGAGTTCTCGCTCTGGCAGGCAAACCCCACATGGAACCAAGACATCGTGTCCATAGACCCCGGCAACAACGACGTCACCGACTTTTGCTCGTCCCAGTCCAAAGACGGCAATAAGACCGTGAACGGTGGTGGGGATGCGGGCGGCAGCGGGGAGGGTAGCAGCAACGACACGTCGACAAGCTCGGGCTCCCCCGGCCTCTCACGCGGGGCTACTGCCGGAATTGCCGTTGGCGGGGCCGCAGCTATAGCTATCATCGTCGGAGCTGTGCTATGGTTTCTCAAGCGAAAGAGGTCGAGGGCCCCTTCATTACCATCGCCGGGCATGATGCAGAACACAGCGTGGACGCCAGTGCCTCCAAGCCAAGACCTCCCCTCTAAGACGCCACCGACGTGCGAACTAGACAATGGGGACACTCCAACCATGCGGCGGTATGAGATGGCGGGTTGAATATTAATGAAAGGCCGACGCAGCTGTGCCACAAATAGTCTTACATGTTGATGACGTTTGAGAGGGGGGTGTTTTCTTTTGTGGATATAGAACCTATTTTGTATTATACCTTACTTTCACCCTGTATTATCTTACGCTCTAGCTTAACTCCTCAACAGAGCCGAGCCAGTGATTTCTTCTTTGCCATAACCAGCGAATGCTTGGTGCTCTACGGTGCCTTTTTATGTTTTTGGTGCTTCAGTTTTGAAGACATCGTCGGCTTTCGATGTTGGTTTGGTGGGACGTGCACGGTCTCTGAGAGCGGTGTGCTGACCCCGCGACTATGTCTCAGCGATTGTGCCTGGCATTTGTAATCCAGCTGAAAACTGGGATGTAAAAAAACTAAGACAGCTCGCAGGGATTCGGAAGAGAGGTAAGTTGACGTCTGGACCGGATTGGGTGTATTCTTCCCTTCCAAGATGGCCCGCGAACTCTTCCGATACGGAAATTACGATGACCATCCACGGCGAACTTGCGATTTGTCATCGATCTTCAGAAACCCCTCTTAATTCCTTTGTAAGCAAGAATGACATACAGCTTATCAAATGCCGCTGAACGATGAAAGTTCTATCCTTGGAACCATTTCGTCCGTCTGTGTACTGAGTTTCAGTGAATGCGGGGTCCGTGGTAGGCAGATCGTAGCATCGGAAACAGTTTCCAAGTTGGGTGCAAGTTGACCGCATCTCTACGGGTTTCCTACGATGTGTTCTTTAAGAGCTCGCCGAAGTCCTACTTACCATCACTTCAAAGATAACTAATCAGATTCGCTGGACTCAACGACTAAGACCCGGCATTTCAGTAAACATCAATAATTGCTCGGTTGACTCTATCCGTTTAGCATTGGATCCAATCCATTGACAACCATCCCGACAAATCTCCACAAAAAGCCGCACCAACCAGGCCAAAATGGCATCTAAGAAGCTTCAACCGATCAGGGTCTGGACCTCCAAGAACGGCCCAAACCCATGGAAAGTCCACTTCGTCCTCGAGGAGCTCGGGATTCCCTACGAAGAAAAGTATATCGACTTCCCCGACATGAAGAAGCCACCCTTTGAAAAGATCAACATCAACGGGCGCGTACCCGCCATCGAGGACGACAACACCGGCATCACGCTGTGGGAGTCGGGCGCCATCCTCGAGTACCTCGTCGAGACGTACGACAAGGACAAGAGGTCCATCAGCTTCGAGCCGGGCACGGCCGACTACTTCCATGCCAAACAGTGGCTGCACTTCCAGATGTCCGGTCAGGGCCCGTACTTTGGCCAGGCCATCTGGTTCCACCGGTACCACTCCGAAGACGTGCAGAGCGCCAAGGACCGGTACGTCAAGGAGATTCGGAGGGTTTCCTGGGTCCTGGACCGGGCTCTCGAGGGACGCCAATTCTTGGTGGGCGATAAGTGCTCCTACGCGGATATTGCCTTTATCCCCTGGTTCAATGTTGCATTCTACCCGTGGTATGACTTGAAGGTTTCCGGTGCTTTTGCGGATCAGATCGATTTTGCAAAGGAGTTCCCGAACACGGCTGCATGGATGGACAGGCTCAGAGCTAGACCTATCATTGCGGAGACCTTGAAGAAGAGGGCTGCCACCTTGTAGAAGGAAGAAAAACAACACTAGAAAGCAATCCGTCATAAGAGTTTAATGAAGAAAAAGAACCCAGTATTTGCTTAAGTGTGTGCATGAGAAAATACGTTGTGGCATACTGTATATTACGACATAGCGACATCTCGGCCCGAGAACCCCACTCTTTACGGAAGAGCCATCCGGGCCCGCCCCGGGCCGCTTTTTGTCAGCTCAAACCAGACCGAGATCGACCCGGGCGGGTGGACAGGCGTCCTCAAGATCTCCCAGTGGCTCCGCTGGGATGCGGGCAAGGCTCGCCCAAGAAGACGGGCAGAAGCCCGCCCCATCGCTCTCACCTTCCTTGTGGTGTCGCATGCGATTCTTGTGTCCGCTACGGTGGGAAGGCGAGAGCACACCGGCCGAAAAGAATGGGTTGATATCATGGTTCCGTTGTATTAGTGAACGCAATTGGATAGAGCATGGGGATGGGCAGTCGAAATGCCGCTCGGAGCCGAATGTAACCTGGTCGTGTGTCTTGCTCTGAACTGGTATACTTGCCTCTTTGGGACGAGTGAGAAGAGAAAAGAAACATTGCGTTTTCGGCATATGGCAAATCAGCGTCGATGCAAAGTCAATTATCGCTCCGTAACATACAGTACATTGCAAGTCTCGCGGCTCGCGTTCTCGCGTCGACCAAAGAGTGGAAATTTCCGGCTGCAGCAGACAAGCGCCCTACAGAAACGCATACGCGCATCCAGTCTCTGCGAAAGACCGAGATCTCCGAGTGCTAGATTTTCTCTTAGCTCGGCCCCAAAGAACTCAGTGTTATCGACTGGCAAAAGTTGCCTCACCGTCATTGATGGAGCTGGCCGTCGTTAGCCTTCTGGGAATAAACCGGGGGCTAGTACGATGCGCAAAGTGGGAGAGAGCCGAAAGAGAGGAAAAGACAACTTCCCTGTCGCGCCCGGTATGAAGTCACGTATCAGTGTTGCTAATCCTCAATGACTCAACTGTTGCACCTAATTCGGTGTTCTTTCCGCTGCCGTCTGTTACAGTCTCAACTCTAAAGAGACTTCACACCCATATCAGTTGAGCCTGATATCTCGGAAGTATGTTCTCTCAGCGCTTTAATCGGTAGATCTAAGGAGAAACCTTTTGCGGAAAAGGATGCAATCTTTTTTACAGCGCCGGCGCGCGGGCATTGAAGCCCAAGCGCAAATCGACAGAGACATCGGAAAAGCGCGGTCCTCAGCAGCGCCAAGCAGGCCTCTCGAAGTAGGCAGGGACCTCGAAAACCAATCTTCTTCGTCACAAGAGGAGGAGAAGCAGCGAGGAAGTCCACTCTTGGAATCACCAGACGGCACTCCCACCACCAACCCCGAAAGCAACGAGCACCGCAACCATGACGGGGAGCACGATGCCTCCGGTACCACCGTCGAACGGAGCCAAACGGCACGGACAGGACACTCGGAAGGCACGGCCCTCGGCCGCGTCCTAACCGGCATCCACGTCCGCGACCGCACCGGCGAAGAGGGTCACGGCGGCCGCGTCTTCGTCGTCGGCTGGGCGGGGCCGGACGACCCCCTAGACCCGCACAACTGGCCCACGGCGAAGCGTATCGGCGTGACGCTCCAAATCTCCCTCATCGCCCTCTTCGTCGGCTCCGCGTCCGGCATCGATGCCACGGTCCTCCCACAGGCCGCCAAGGACCTCGGCGTAAGCCAGGTCGCCGAGTCGCTCGCCACGGGCCTCTACCTCGTCGGCATGGGCCTGGGGTCCCTCATCGCGGGGCCCTTTTCCGAAACCTTTGGCCGCAACGCCGTGTACGCGGCCTCCATGGCCGTCTTCATGATCTGGATCATGGCGTCCGGGCTGGCGCCCAACTTTGGCGCGCAAATCGTCTTCCGGTTCCTGGCGGGGTGCTCCGCCTCGACGCCGCTCGTCTGCTCCGGCGGCTCCATCGCAGACATGTACAACCGCCTCGAAAAGACGTGGAGTTTCCCCCTCTACGCGATCACCTGCTTCGGCGGTCCCATGATCGGCGCCGTCATGGGCGCCTACATTGGCCCTTCCAACGCCGTGAGCTGGCGCTGGGTGGAGTGGACGACGCTCATCTCTTCCGGGCTCGTGCTGGTGCTTGTCCTGCTCTTCATGCCCGAGACGTATGGCCCGCTACTTTTGCAGTGGAAGGCCGCGCACTACCGCCGCATCACGGGCGACGACCGCTTCCGCTCCGAGCACGAGATTGTCGACGCCACGCTCTTCAGCCGTCTCAAGACGAGTATGACGAGGCCGTTCCTCATGCTGATGGAGCCCATCATTATCGCCATGACGCTGTACATTACTGTCGTCTACATAGTCCTCTTCACCTTCCTCGTCGGGTGGCCCTACGTCTTTGAGTACACCTACGGCCTCGACCAGGGGCTCGCCAACATCATCTTCATCTCCATGTTCGTCGGCACGCAGGTCAACTTCCTCTTTGTGCCCTTCATCTACGCCAAGACGGCAAAACGGGTCAAAAGTGACGGTGAAAAAGCGAGCTTCAAACCGGAGATCCGTCTGTGGTACGCCACCTCCGGCGCGGCCATCTCCGTCCCCATCTCGCTTTTCTGGCTCGGCTGGACGAACTTCGCCAGTATCAGCGTCTGGTCCGCCATCTTCGCGGTCGCCGTTTTCGGGTACGGCGTCACCGGAATCTTCATGTGCGTGTACATGTACATAATCGACTCGTACGAGATCTACTCGGCGTCGGCGCTCACGTTCGTCGCGCTCATCAGGTACATGGTTGCGGGAGGCATGACCGTGGTTGGAATACCATTCTTCGAGAAGATGGGAACGCACTACACTCTGACCATTCTCGCCTGTATATCAGCTGTGCTTGCGCCGATCCCGTACGTTTTGTATTACTATGGCCACTGGCTCAGGGCCAAGAGTCGCTTTGCCGTATCAATGTAAAGTAGTGTCATAAATCTAGATAGTGTCTACCTTTCCTAGCAGATAGCACACCATGCCTTATGTACCACGAATATTTGCTCGCATCCTGCAGAAGAGTCTTTACCAGCTTGGCCCACAGATCACGTTGAGACACAAACTAGACCTACACTGACACGATGGATCGTGCTGGTTGCCGGATAGAGAACGGCATATTTGTACTTGACTACAATCTCTTGAAGAAGCCCAGATTTGGAAGTCCTGGGTCAACAAGGATCCAGACGGACCCCTCCAAACGAGAATCCTCCAATCCATTGCCTTTCAAAGTCTTTTGAGATGACCAAGAACACCTCGCCGTCGCTTCCAACTTCCACTTCTGGCCCTAACACCTCACACCAGCCAGTATTTCTCAACGTATTCCAGAGCCCAGGTGCGATCGTTTTCTCTTTATAGCCTTCTTGGAAGAGTTCGGGAGGAATGTGTTTGTGCTTGTCAACATCAACATCTTGACCGAGAAAATCATGGGGATTCTTTGCTCGTCCAACGCTGCAACGCAAGTTCCAGGGGTAGAACCATGAAGAATCCGGGATCAAAGTCCCCCCCTCATTCAAGTCAGCCGGAAAGTATCTTTCTCTGATTGTGTTTTCTGGTGGACCACTGGGATACCAGCAGCGAGGCACAGGCTGTGATGAACCAGGACAGTTTTTGCCTGCAAAAAACCAGAATATCCAACGAGAGCGGTATCGACCACGGTCTATCCACTTGACGTGCCCGCGAATCTGCAAGTTGACGATCCGGCGACATGTTAGGATGGTGTTGCCAACCGGTTTGACCTTGTTATGTCGCAAGATGTACTGTTCAACCCTCGTTCCAAGGGGGTAGCCTTGGTCTCCAAGGGCCTCCCTGTACCAGTACAAACGCCCCGGATAGTCTTGGTCAAGATCCCCCTCATGTAGACTTGAGAAACTCTCAACAGGTATGACGTGAGGTCTAGGAGCACCACAAGAGTTCTCTTGCCATTGCTTTTCTCGCTCTCTTTCAATCTCGAGTACTACGTTCCGAGCCGATAGCGAGTTTGTAACAAGGTCTTTGAGTTTTTTGATGACATTCTCGTACTCGTGGTCATGAGGTGCAAACTTCACCATGTTGGAGTGTGTGCGGGCGATGGGACACGTATACGACGAATTATCTTCCCACGGGCGGCTGTGTGTTGCCGATTCCTTGGCGACAAGAACTTTGGCCGGTCCAGTCATTTTCCAGACCCCAGCTTCATTCTACTTTCATATAAATACGGAACCTGAAGGCACAGTATGAGATAACGTCACACGCACCTTTTCTGCTGTCGGCGACACGAGTGTTTCGTAGAAAGAGACAATCTCAGAGTCACCCTTCCCACCCAGGGCGGTAGGGAACTCCATGCTGCAAACACTAGGCATTTGCGACTGAATGCGATCTAAAGATCGAAGAAGAGGGAGGTTCGGCCCGTCCTCGACCATGGGTATTAGCGATTCAGTGTCCATGCCAAGGTGCGGAACACCAAAGAAGGCGATCCCGTACACCGCCCGAACGATACGTGAGTCTTGTTGGGTGCCGGATTTGGACATGTCGACTAGAGCCTGGCTTCATTATTAGACCTGCATAGTTCTAGAATGACCATTTGTCAGAGCTTACCTGCTTTGCAATCAATCCTCCCATGCTGTGAGCTATCAGAATGATCGGCCGCGTCGGAGAGCTAGCGAGTGGGAGCAGGCTGGTACGGAATTTCGCTGCCAGGTCTTCGATGTTTTGGAAGTTTTCACTCCCAGCAAGAGTGGAATTGTAGCCCCAGGTCATCACCCGAGCCATAGGAGGTTGATCTGTCGCTTCTGTAAGGTGGAATGGAAGAGAGTCTCGGAGCCACATGTGACCTCCGCCCCTTTCTTTGAAAGAACCGAACGCGTGTCCGCCAAGGCCAGGAATTGCAACGAAACTATGGAGCAGTCAGCATTGCATCGGAGTCCTCGAAGGGGCTCTCGATGCTCACTCGACCTTGTGGCTCTCTGATGGCGGCATGTACAGAGTAGTGACACCCTCAAAATCATCGTCAATCGTCATGTATTGAGTTCGAACAGGCTGTCCAAGATCTTCAGAGCCTGTAGGCAGGGGTATGTCCCAGAATCTAGAATGAGCCGCTTTGGAGCCTTGAAGTCGAGACGGAAGAACCCGAAAAGTGACAGTTGCAGTACTGGAGCGGTTATGGACCTCGCGAGCAAGAGACTTGACGACAGGAACGGTAAGAGGGTCAGGTTCTGCTAAGAACGACTCTAGATGCTTGAAGCTCCAGTCGAGAGGCACGCCGCGAATCCTGAATGTAACTTGCGAACTGTGCAGCTCCATCCTTCAAGTAGAACGGCTCTCTCGTCCTTCGGAAACCTTTGTAGCGTCAAGATGAACTCGATGTCTGTGTAGCGGAATGAAGTGAAGTTGACAGCCCAGGGTACTTAGTGGAGAGAAGAGTGTGGGCAGTTTGATGTCCTGAAAACCCGTCGCTATCTGGTGAATTGCGGCTGAACCAGGCGAAATACTCCAACCAATAAACCCAGACAACGTAACCGGTCGGTGCCAAAGCACACGCAAGCCACCGGTCTTGGTAGCGTGAAGCATCCAACGCACTTGCTGACGAAAATCTAGTCACAGGGGTGTCTCGTGGGCCTCGATATTTATCTAAACGAGTTACGCAAGCCGCGCCATTCTTCTTGACCTGGCCAAGAGACGAGGATGAGTAGGCTGGCGTCCAGGCTCGAGCGACGCATCTGGAGAACCGGGACTGTAGCTAAAAGAAAGAACAGATCATGGCTTAAATACTAAATTACTGCTACGAGAAGATTCTCGCAACGATCGATGAATTACATTTGTTCAAGGTACAAAGAACACCACCACGAGCAGACTGCCTCGAACTCGCTATTACTGTATAGTTTGACCAACCGTTATGTTACGCTTCCCGCAAGAGAGGTCCTCCAAGAGTTGCCGTTGTATTTTTTAGAGGCTAACTCTAGGTAGAAGTCCAACAGACAGATAGGTGCGAGTTTCAACACACCTCGCATGAGAAAGAAAGGTTCGACAAATCGGAGAAGATGATCATCGCCAAAGCTAGGGCTACACTTTGGTCCCTCCTTTTAGCCGCAGAACCGTGGGCCGTTTGTGATATCGAAGTGTTGACAGAATATAGAACCAAAACAGACACGCCCACACGGCCAAGATGATGCCAATCGCCGCTGCAACGAATCCGAGTGATATGAGAGCAATATCATATGAAAATGCCTGGAATTTCCCATCCGAACCCAGCCTCTCAGTTGCCAGAGCCACTTGCAAAGCTGATAGGATGACCGTGATGTAGATGAAAACCACCAAGAGCCAGCCAAAGTTGCGCTCGAAAAAGGTGGTATACTGCTTCGAACCCGAAATGTAGCCGTACACGAACCTTGTCGCCGAGAATCCAGCCGCGCCCAAGCGGTAGAGCGTATTGAGGCGGGACAAGCGGAGTTCGCCGTATTCGTAACGAGGGCTCACCCAGCTTCGCGTTTGGACGTCGTTCTGGCTGGAGAAATCGAGTACCATCCTTGTCCAAATTTCCCATTTTATACAAGAAGGCAGTAAACCCATCTCATGTGCGATTCGCAGATCGCTGCGGTAGCTGATGAGCCATACGTACGAGAGCAGCAGCCCACAAGCACTCCTATACAGCGCGCCGTTATCACAGATTGTCTCTTCCCACAAGTTGTGATCAAAAAAGTAGTCTGGTAAAGGCTTGATGAAAATGGTGGTATCGTGCCACGTCATGTGCTCCTCGGGGTTTTCGGTCACGCAAATGTTCCGTCCGACTACCTTTTGGCGATGAAGTGGACGCGCCGCTCGGGGCAGCCCCGCGAGCCAGAGGTATGGATACATCTTCTCCAACCTTTTCGTTTGTAGGTCGGTCTCGAGGAACAAAGTGACGCTTTCTCTGGCATTGGTTACATTGGCTAGCCGGTCCTTGTACCGGAAGATGGGGGGCAGAGTGGTGCTTGTCGAAAGCTGAAGGGCGGTATCTCGCGAGATGGGTACGGGAGGCTTGGGTGGTGGTGATGATGGTGCAGTTGCCTGCGGTGTATGTGCCATCGCGTCGCCAGCCTCGAGGCCGTGGATTCAGTCTGACAACAGACAACAAGACAAGATAGTACTCGTGAAATTCACGAATGTATGACCGTTTGCAAACTCTAGCCTGGAGCTGATAGTGAGCGTCGATGGAGGGGAGCTGGAGCCTTATGCCAGGAACTTGGCCCGGGTGAGCCATGGTTGCTTCCATGCGTATGTTCAAGTATGTAGTAATCGAAGGCTACAACCTATCGCTGTACCCAAGTCAAGATGTGATTCCCTCCGAAGGCTGAATTTAGCTCCAATCAATTGAGACATGTATGCTTCCCCTGGTCGTTTTTGCTCAGCTTAGTGCGGACAGACCCCGTCAAGCAGTCAGCCGCTGCCAAGGCTGATGCAGTGGGTGTAGGAAACGCTACGGGAAGCACTATTCCCGCCTGGCGAGATCAATGTTCTTCATAGCTGCTGGCTGTCGTCCTACGTAAGTAACCATTCGACAGATTCTTCTTGAGCCTTGACATGGCTAACGATTCGCTGTGGGATCGTACCTCTTACACGAGCGCTTCGCTCAACAAGCTGTCTAGCAATACTGACTCATCATGGACCATGAGACAAGAGGCCGCGAAAAATGATGACAAGAAACAAACAGCATTCCGGGTTGAGACGGCAAAAGTAGTCGAGAGATTCTTTACAAATCAACAACTCTTTATTCTCGAGGGTTTCTCCTATCCTCCCACTTCTGTGTCATGGACATTTGCCTCCTGAGAGATGTTGCACTTCACACGTTCTGCCTAATTGCTGTGAGTCTTTCCAACCCCCCTAGTCCCTTTCTCTCTCCTTTCCTTCTCGGACCTGCCGCATCGTGTGACATGAGGTTGTTTTCTTTTTCTTTCGTATCAACTGCCTGCCTGCCTGCCTCATCACCACATCCCCCTTTTCCAAACATCATCATCGTCCCACCCCTGCGACGTGACCGTCCAATATTGGCATGTTTTTTGTCAAAGAAGAGGAAGAGAAGATAAAAGGCCCTACACGGAGTAGTTACACAAACAAAGCCATTGAATAGCTTGAAAATAAACGCCAGCCCGTGGGATGATGTTCCTCCCCGGATAACGAGGAGGTTCCCGACCATGCATATAATAATAGTAAAAAAAAGACACAAAACTTTACATCGTGCTGTCGTCGCTTCCGTTGCATTACCATTTCGTATGGGAATTACCATTCCCAAGGAATCAAAATTCAACGCAGCCAACCCCCTTTCGAGTCGTGATCATCATGGGCCATGCGTCTTTGCCCCCCTCCTTTCTTGAGACACTTGGCGAGCAGAGTGACTACCTGCCTTGGGGTCTCGAACTGGCCATCTCGCCGTGTCGTCCACGGTGCTGCGTTGTGTCGTATGCCTGAAGCACTCTCGATTGACTCTCGTCTGCTTGGGAGAATGCATAGCCGCGCTGCTTACGCATGCGCTGTACTTGTCGTACCTTGCGAATCGCCTTTTGGAATTGCTCCATTCTGGGATGGGTTAGTGGACCGTCACCCATAGGGGCTGTGGGTATGAAGAAGAAACATACCTTGGTCTGTAATCTTGGATGTTGTACTTTTGGATTTCCTGAATGTGATGGTATGTCTGCGGCATGTACATGCGCTTGGCGAACTTCCAGGCAAAATCGCGCATGAGACACATAATCGCGAGCGCAAAAGTCTGCAACCAGAAGACCGGGCTGCTGTACAGCTTGGGAATAACGCCGTGGTACTCAGCCGAGAAGGGGATCATGGGTGCGACGGTACCGTATAGAGCAATGAAGCCCCACCAGAAAAGCATACTGCCGGGAATGGCCATGACGTGGTACTTGGTCCAGTTGTTCGTGATCAGAGCCGCCTTGCCGAGGACAGTGAGCAGGACCGCAGCGTACATGGCCGTGCCCCAGACCCAGTGGCCGGCGATTTGTCCGTCGCCTTGGATGAGTTCACCGTACCAGATGAGCTGGCCAAACACGTAGAGGATAATGGAGTGATACACAGCGTTGGCGACCCACTCGGCAAAGACTTTGATCTTGAAAAACTGATTTTGCTGACCCATGTTGTACAATTGCGGGTAGCGGTCGAGGAGTCTGGCGGAAATGAACTGGTCAAGAATACCCAAGGCGAGAGGAGGGAAGACGGTGTAGAAGACGTTGTAGAACGAAAGGGTCCAAGACTCGTAGATGACGGCTCCAGAGAAGACGTTTTGAAAGGTGTACTGGTCACGTTAGTGATCTAAAGTCCTCGGGTCGACTATCAATAAACTTACCCAAAACTGTGTCATGTACAAGGTGATGTTCTTGTAGAAGGAAAACAGAATGGTCTTGGCAACGCGCTGGTAGCTCCAGGCGCCGTGAACCAGGAGTAGCTTTCTGAGGTACCGGAACTGGCCGATGGATACATCAGCGCTTCGGGCGGCCTGAAGACCTTCCATACCGCTGATGCCCACACCGATGTGGGCAGCTTGGATCATTGACACGTCGTTGGCACCGTCACCAATGGCCAGCGAGATGGCCTCCTTTTGGTACTTCTTGACCAACTTGACAACAAGAGCCTTCTGGAGGGGAGAGACACGGCAGCAGATGACGGCCTTGCACATGATGGCGAGGTCAAGGAATTGCTTCTCGAGATCCTTCTCCAAGGCGTAAGTCAAAGACTTGCCATCGATTACGAGTGCGAGAGTCTCCGTTTCGATCGTTCCGTCACCCTGAGTGCGAATGGCTTCGAGTTTCTTTTGGATATTGTCGCGCGTTGCCTCCGCACTTTCTTCATTCACAATTAGGAGCATCATGTCCTCGCTCAGAAGCTTGCAACTCATTCCAATGTTGATGGCGGTCTCCTGGCGATCGCCTGTCAGGACCCACACCTTGATGCTGGCCTGCTGAAGCGTGTGAATGGTCTCGGGAACACCATCCTGGAGGCGATCTTCAATAGCAGTCGCTCCAAGGAGGTAGAAGTCGTGCTCGATGAGTTCTGCCGCCTTGTCCAGCTCGTCGGCACGGTTTCCACCAACGGTCATACCGGCCTTTTCAAAGACCTGGAACCATTCCTGGAACTCCTGCTCGGGAACTTCGCGCATGGCGAGGCAAAGGGTTCGGAGACCTTCCGAGGCGTACTCTTCCAGGTGGCGCAAGGTAGCTTCGACGTGGGGGTTCTGATCGTTCAGACGCTCGAGGATGACAGTATCGGCACCCTTGCAGTATACGCGGACCTTTCCGTCGGGGCACCGATAAATGGTCGACATGCGCTTTCGGGTAGAGTTGAATTCGCAAACGGCTAGAAGCTCATACTCTAGCTCGCGTCCTCCAGCTTCGATGAAGACAGACCTCGGCTTGCGATCGGTGAAGACGTAGCCGAGCTCAGCCGCGCCCTCGACTAGCGCACCCTCATCGGGTGAGGCGGCTTGATACTTGATTTTGCCGCCCTTTTCTTCGCTTCTCTCGGGGATGACAGTGTGGCAAGTAGCCAGCAAAGCCAGGAAATGGTCAATCACGGGAGCCGTCTCGTGGCTCTTGAGGTTCTCCGCCAATCTCTTATAATCGTGAATTCCAACCTCAACACCATCCTGAATCGTCGCCCTGAGGTCCTCGGGTACATCCTCGGCATATTGAATTCCGCCAATCGAGGCCTGTTTGAACTCCATCATGTTGCAAGTCAAGGTGCCCGTCTTGTCGGAGAAGACGTACTCAACCATGCCCAGTTCCTCAACCAAACTCGATGTTCTGCAATTTGCCGGGGTGTCCGTTCTGTCGTAGTAGATATCGAGGTCGTCGTTGATGAGAATTCCGTGCCAGTACTTGACCATTTCCAGGGTGACAAACAGGGAGATGGGCACAAGGGAGGAGAACAAAACCCAATATGTGACCATGTCCTTGAAGAAGGTCTTGATGATGTCATTTGCAGAACCGGTAGAGTCAAGCATAAGATACTGGAGAGCTTCACCCTCAACCTTGCGCTGGACAAGATCACCTACTGTGCAAATGACGCTGAGCACAAGGAGGATACCGACCAGCACAAGAACAAGAATGTTCAGTTTCTTTTCGACCTTTGTGCGCTTGATGGGCGCGGCCGTAGCGTTACGCATGAGCTTTGTCTCATGTCCAGTGAAAACAACCACACCATGAATCCAGGGCGTATTACGAAGAGTGGCACCTCGAAGGAGAAGCTGCTCGGGGTTGAGGGGCAGTTCTTTTTCACCGCCACCAGCCTGCATCGTTAGAGTGGCCTCATACGTGTACAGACTGCTGTTGGGCTGTTCAGACTTGATTCTTCCTCCAAGCCGACTCAGATCGCTGGAGCTGACCATCGTGCATGTCTCCGGCAATGCCTGCTTGATCTTCAAGTTTGTTTCTCCGTCGAGGTTGGCTGTTTCAATGTAACAAAGTCCCTCGGGCTCGGAACTTGCAAGCAGGACCAGATCGGCAGGGAATGGCTCTTCAGATTCGACGCGGATGATGTCTCCGACCGCAACATTGATCCACTTGGACTCCTGGAAAGCGGTTCCGCGTAGGATGCGGGCCTTGGATGTGTTCAACTGATGGTCGGCTTGCTTTCTTCGGTAGTCCTCCACCAATTCCTTGCCTGCCGAAACCATCATGACGATAAAAAGCGGAATGATGGTGGTGTATCTGTTGGTAGGCGAGAGATTGGGAATCTGCTGTAGCGCAGCCGTGAATAGGAAAAAGATATTGGCGAACTTTGAAAACTGTTCGAAGAGGAATTTCGGAAGGAAAGTTGCGACATTGTACTTGGCCGTCGAGATATGGTTGTCGACGTACTTGTTCGCCGCGTTCGCGGGCGGGTTGTTGAGATGGATCAATCTCGGACCCAGAGTCGAAGGGTCCGGCTTCTTTCCTCCAAATCCAAACTTGAAGTTTCCCATGTCGAACTTCTTGCCCCCCTTGGCTTGCGCATCGATACCCGAGTCTGCCCGTCCGTTGCCGCCGGCCTCCGTCAAGGGCAAGTCCATCTCCGAGTATCCTTGGCCCATCCCCAGCTTATTCTTCATGCGACCAAAAAAGCCTCCACCCAAGCTCAGGACGCTATTACGGTTCCGAGCGTTGGACCTCGCGGAGGGGTCTCCGACATTGTTTGTACTCGTCGCGGCGCCGCCTTGTTGGTAGTATGATTCGCCTTCAGCCGAGTAGTCGTCAAAGTCGTCGGCATATCGCTGGTAATTGTTTAGTTCTGACGTTTGACTGTAGTGTCTCTGCATGTATGGGCCAGAGGATGCGCCCCCAGGGACGCCAGGCGATTGAGGGCCGCCAGGTAACGGTCTCAATGCTGAGGGCTGCTGTGTATGATTCCCTCCTCCTCCACTTCCTCCTCCTCCTCCGCCGCCGCCGCCAATAAAGTCATCGTACGAAACGGAGGGTCGGCCTTGGGCATGGTCTTCATCGTGATTGTAGGAGCGTAAAAGGTCATCGTCGTTCATGTTCGATCGCTGTCCTGCATTGTATGTCGGTTGCTCGTTGTCCAAGTCTAGTAGCAGGTCGTTATTCGAGGGTCCTCCTGGAGGACCACCCGTAGGTCGTCCAGTCATGCCGGGAGCGCTGGTAGCGTTGCTAGGCGATCAAGTTGCAAGTGTCGGAATGGCCAGCATGCGAATTTCGGGGTGATTGGATTACCGTCGTGTTTCCAGGCACATGAAGGGAAGGAGCGATGCAGTCGAGAGGGTGTGGTCGCGAAGGCAATTTGGCAGCCTAATGGGTGGATGATGGAGATTCGTATCGGCAGCAGCAGCGTAGCTAAAGGTGACGACTACGACGACAACGACAATCAGCAGTGAAAGCGACGCCGCAGCTGGGCGTTTGCTGAAGGTAAGCTGATGTGGTGGGAAAAAAAGAAGTGGCCCAGCAATCCGTATTTGTTGCAGCACAGCCTCTTTTTGGCGCAGGATTAGGATTACACAGTGGTCGGCTTGCGCTACGTCAACGGGCTGAGTGCGCAAGTGTACCGTACTTGGTCGCCGGGTGAAGAAGAGAGTAGTGGCCGAGAGACGGTCCCCGGTGGCAGTGGCTCGAGAGGCAAAGCAACGCAGTCGCTATGATTGGCTTGTAACGGTCGAAGAATTTCACAACAGGCGAGGTCGTCTTGAAGACCGTTGAGAGGCCGAAAGGTAAGGTGATGTGAGGTGTCGTTGGCGGGAAGGGTAGGATCTGCGGAAAGTCGTGTTTGAGGTGTTGGTGGTGCTTGAATGGGGTGAATTGGGGGGACTCGGGAGACAGTGCAAGGGAGCCGGCCGGACGAGACTGGAAGCTAAACACGCAGCAGCAAGTAGCAGCAAGGCGTTACCTAGACTGGGCGTAAGGTTGGTAGCGTGGGTTTTTCAAGGGGGGGGGGGGGGGGGGGGGGCGCAGGGCAGCAGTAGTGTAGCACCAGTGGCAGCAGC